GTCTACTCAAGCTTGATTTCTACACACTTAGACAAAGCGTTAGCTACACGTGACTTCTTCCATTGATGGTGGTGGAGTTGGCCACGTGCACCCTGACAATCAAATGAGTTGGGGAAATAAATGTATGAATGTGGGAGGGATGAAGTGATGGGAAAATATTTTCCACGAACTCTAAGAGATCGAAAAGAGACGGAGTTTCTTCAACTTAAACTGGGAAAGATGAAGTTTAAGGAATATGAGAGAAAGTTCGAACAACTCTCTAGGTATGCACCACACCTAGAGGACACGGAAGCAAAGAAAGCAAGGAGGTACGAACTGGGAAAGCGTCCTGAGATAGGTGGCATAATGGCGTCTCATCAAATCACCAATTACAGTCGGGTACTTCAAAGGAGACATAATTTCTTCAACTGAAACAGAGAAAGATGAAGCTTGATGATTATGAGAGAAAGTTCGAACAACTCTCTAGGCATGCACCACACCTAGTGGACACAGAGGCAAAGAAAGTAAGAAGGTTTGAATTGGCATTGTGTCCGGAGATTGGTGGAATAACGGCATCCCACCAATTCACTACCTATAGTCAGGTTTACAAACTGCCCATACAATTTCAAATAGGTTAGAGATTGACCAAACTTTCGTCAAGGCGTCGAGCCTTTAGGAAAGCGAAAATAATATGGGTCCAATGAAGAAATAGGAGTGGACTGAACAAGAAAATGAACATTGGGACAAGATTTGGACAAACTGTTTCGCCCTTTCTTTTCTTGCTCATTATCTTTCTTCAAGGAGGTTTCCTTGCAGTTTTTAGCAATATGACATGACATCGATAACACACATTACTCCCAAATAAACATTCTCCGCCAGTATTTTTGCTTTCACTCAAGATGGGGCAACAGAGGAACCGGATGCATGTAATTTCGATGACGAAAATTTTTTTAAGGAAGGGAGATTTTAACGCCCTGAAAATTTTAAAATAAAATTTTATTTTTTTTATATGCTATTTTGATATTTTGAAAATAGGTTTTAAAATCAACTTTATTTTGACCAAATAATTAGATATTGATAGAGCGAGATTTAGTATATCGATATTGGACTCTTTTTGTAGCTCGTAATTAATTAGAACTTTTCGACTCGAGAAAAAATTGTTTTGAATAAGAACATATTAAGTTAGACCTAAATGAAACAAAATAAGGATAAATAGAATTATAATTAATTTATAATCCAATTCAATTTCTCTTTTGTGGAAATTACACTACACCCTACTTTTCAAGATCCATATTCAAAAATCAAATCAAAGGTTTCACTTTTCAAAAATCAGATATTTTATTTTTAAATATTAAATATACAATTTTCATCCCCAAACCTAATTCATTTTCAATCCTCACTTTCTCTCACTACCGTCTCTTCTCTCCATCTCCCTCTCTCTCCTCGATCACACAGGCGCCGCCGCACCCACCCCCATCATCCACCTCAGTATCGTCTGCCCAAGCCTCACACCTCCCCCGTCGCCGCTATTGCGACGACGATTTGCAGTGAAGCGGTGGTGATGTTGATTGCAACACCGCCTCGACCGCCTCCAATTCGATCTGCTGAAGTTTTGTTCTGTAATGGAGTGGTTGAAGATTTTTTCAAGGATGGTTACCCCCTCCGTTAACCCAATGATTTCTCCATTTTCAGAAACTACCTTGAAGATATAACAAAACCAAGTAAATAATAATAAAATAATTTACTGTTTGTGCTCTAATCTTGTTATATATTTGGCAGGCTTCAATGTTGAGCCTTCGATTGGCAAAATTTATAAATTGTTTCGGAGTTTCTGCTAATTTCACTTCTAGGAAGTTGAGCTGCTGAGTAGAAAGGGCCTATGATGATTTTTTTCTTTTCAACCATTTTCATAGTTGCGACGTCAATTTCTCTTTGCCTGTTTATTTTTTACATATCCGAGCCTCGATTTAGGTTGTCCCCCCCCCCCCCTTTTCTGAAGCCTGCTTTTATTTTCAATTATGGTGATTTTTTTCCATATTTTTTGTGCATTTGACAATGGTGCAGACGGAGGATCTTGAGGATCTGGTGATTTTAGTTTTCTGTGATTAAAAATATAATTTGTGACCTTAAAATTTGGTAATATGGGACTAAAAATATAATCCGTGACCAACCATTTTGTTATTTGTAACCTAAAAATTATATAATCTGTGGTCGTGAAAAAATCTGTGACCAACTAATTTGGAAATCTGTGACCGTGTGACCTATAAATTTTGATCTGTGACCAACTAATTTTGAAATCTGCGACCAACAAATTAAATGTGACCTATAAAATTTTTGAACTGCGACCATAAAATAATCTATGACGTATAAAAATTATTATTTGTAACTGAAAAATAATATGTCACTAATTAAATTATAAATATGTGATCGGAATGATTGCCGGAATGGTCGTCGGAATGGTCACCGGAATCGGAGTAGTCGCCGGAGAAGAGTGGTCACCGAAGAATAGTGGTGGTCGGAATGGTCGTCGGAATAGTTCCCAAAGCGGTATGGGTGGTGCATGTAGAGTGTGTTTATTATATTATATTATATTAGAATTTAAAAAAAAAACCTGATTTTTGAATTTTCAAACTATAAACATGATTTTTGAATTGATGTAAACTAAACACCTTATTTATGAATATATCACTTTTAAGTATGTAATCTAAAGGCCCATGAGCTTCTCCTGATTTTGAATTAGTGTAAACTAAACACCTTATTTATGAATTTTTCCCTTCTTTTTTTCCTACAACAACTTGTATTTATAGATGACATAAATTAGAATCATTAGTTGTTTTGATAAAGATAAATTCCAATTCTATTCTAATTAAAAATTCTACTACTCTACTTCAATTCTAAAGTGTATTTCAAGTCAAACGAAACTAGATTTCACATTTTACCACGTCTTATTTTAAAATAAAAAAAATTAATTATACGATTGGTAAATAATTATACTTGGTTTATGATTTGAGTTTTTATGGTAGCCACACATGTGAGATGATAAATGTTGATTTTGATAATGATAATATTTTTGTATTTGATAAAGTTTAATAGTAATAATAATTTTATTATTTGAAATTAATTCTAATCCAAATTCCTTATATTACATTGTTTTTCAATTCTAGTTGCATACAAACTTAATTGCGAATTTCAACTATAAATATTGTAGGAATTCCCTTTATTTCACCACAAAAAATAAAGAGAGCCACGGTAGAGAGAGAGAGAGAATGAGATGAAAAAGTATAGAAAAATAATAGGAAAACTTTTATGTGTAAGATTTTATTCTTTTCAACATTTCAATATCAATGTAAGATACTATGTGCAAGCGATTAGTTTCCTTATACTTTTATATATTCAATGTGCGTGAATTGCTAGTGAACCTTCAAGTTTGACCTAACGAAATGTGAATTCTATTGGATTCTTTATAACGAAATGTGAAATCCTTTGAAATTCAAAATACTACTGATGGGTGTGTCGCTTGATCTTCGATATACTCCATAAGAAATGTGGTATGAAGTGTTTATTTTATTGTTATATAATTATCTATGGAAACTGCATGTATCTTACTGGATATTTTTAAATACTCACTCCTAAAATAACTTTATAGATTAGTTCGGGTCGATTGAAAATGTTAAAGGGATCGAGGGAAAAATAAACATTAAGTTTTTTCTATCTTTAATTTATTAGTTAGTTTTATTTTTTCAAAGACATATTATTTAATTAGTGATTATATTATTTTCTTAAAAATACAATTTTCGTGTTTAGTTTAAATTTATGGATATTTCAATTTTTTAATTAAAAAATATTATTTTATCGTTCCACCTTGATACATAGAAAAATGAATTTTTGGTAACACTTCAAGGTTTATGACAATTGGGGTGTTATATACCTAATTATCGAATCTTGGACTGGGAATACATACATGGCTGGTTAGATGAAAGTATTACAAATTTATTAGGTTTTGTGATCTTATAAATTCCGAGAGTTCAATCTTTTGCCTTTTGTGGAAAAAAAAGAGTAACAATTAGATTTGGTGGTCTAAAGTCGACTAGACATGATCTAATTATTGGAGTTTGGATAATATATGTCCGATCAGGTCCCTGTGGTAGCTTTATAAAGTATTGTGACTTAATTGCGGTAATTATAATAGTTTTGAGCTCAATTGTAATTACAATAAAAAAATTTATTTAGTTGTATTACTATAAAAGTTGCAAACTTTTATAATTGTAATTGAAATTCTAGGACTACACATGTAATTAAATGTAAACTAACTGGATGTGGATTTTAATTAGAACTCCTATTTGGATTTTAATTAAAACTCCTATTTGAATGTGGAATTATTATTGTACAAGGATTGAAACTATTTTATCTCGACTCTATAGATAGAAATTAGACGAAACCTATATATCCAATTGAGCATAAAAATCATAATATATAATTCCTTATTGTTCAAATTTGGAAAGAGAAAATGAGAGAATAATTATTTTCTTATTTTTTTCATATGTCGAGTCCAATAATTAATTTCTTTATCTAATTAAAAAAAGGTGCTAGCGGTATAGTCTCAACTTTGGAGAATATCATAGAAGATTTGAAAGTTTGGAGTATCAAGTTCTTGGTATTAAAAAGTTAGAAGCTCGTATTTCAAAAATGTGGAAGTTCGTAATTCAAAATTAATTCAGAAATCAATCATCGAATTTAGGGAAAAATCGAATATTTTATTTTTGATATAACATACACGTAAACATTTAGACGATTTTGTTTATTGAATTAAACAATTTTTTTAATTTTTGAATAACTCAGCTTTTGCATTCCAACATAATAATCTATCCATTGAAAATGCGTTTATATTAATGTAACAATGATAAGGGTTATCTATGACATTGTCTCTTGGGAGAAAAAAACCCCCTATTTCGCTCCTTTGTCCCTCTAAAATTATCCACGAGTTTTCCTAATGAACCCAATCCCGTTATCCTCAGTCTCTCATGGCCATTTCCGCAGTTTTACTCTCCCGGGCTCGCACTCCCCGCCCCCACCTTCAACTACCCGCAAACCCAAAACCTATCAAGAATTCTGTAACTCTCGACATTCCTATTACAAGGAGGCTTGCAATCCTCACTACCTTTACATTTTGTACAACACCTTTTATTCATACATCGTCTTCTGCATCTGCTGAATCATTTCTTTCTGGCATTTCCAACACTAAGTCTTGGTTCCAGTTCTATGGCGACGGATTTGCCATTCGTGTCCCGCCTCAATTTCAAGATATTATGGAGCCCGATGTGTGTCTGTTGTTATTATTATTCTTTTTCTTCCTTTACTTAATAAATTGCTTGCTTCAGACACCCCCCCCCCCCACCCCCCATTTTAATCTATTTTGAGAATTTCGAGCATTATGATTTGCTTGCTTGTTCTTTCATACGAATGATACTCGTGAGTTTGTTGGGAAGAGGAGCGCTCAAATTTTTTCTATTTTTTTTTTTTTTTTAGTTTTTTCCATCTGTTTAAGCTTACTGAAAAATCAACTTATTGACTTCTCAATGGTGAAAGGCAGAAATGTTGGTGAAGATGCAAGGACAGGAACATTAATATAGTATAAATTGCAGCTATTGTAGAACATTTTGTTCATGAGAAGGCAAGCTAACACTAACAGTAATATTGCGAAAATTGCAGCTATTGTAGAATATTATGTTAATATGAAAGACTATATTACAACTTCCTTCTGTTATATAAAAATTAAGGGAATGTATGGTACTTTGGTATGCATTACTGGAAAATAGTGCATAAGATAATTTTAGAGATTTTAACTTCTTTCTTTCCTTAGTTCTGTCTAGTGATGTCCAATCTCGAGTACCAAACATGCCATAATAGAATCTTTGGAGTTCGGGGAAGAACCCCACAAGTATGAACCTAATCCACACATTGTAACTTCAAAGTTCTGGTAATGGTGAAGTCCTACTCATAGACTCGATCGGCTTCTCTTATTGGGACAAGGATAAGTAATGGGATGTTAACTCTGAAAACTTTTAACTAATTCATTCTAAGCCCAAACTTGAACTACTATGGAATCTTGACAAAGGTGGTGTTTGTATACTAATTCAAGAACCATAGATTCAGGATATATACCCATGTCTAACAATTACTAGAAGAGCAAACATGGTTCTTTTGGTAAATTTCTTTAAACGTTCAACCAATGCTATATGAAATATTTCTAACAAGTTTTTAATGTACAATCTAAAAGATTTATTATTTGTTCACAGTGGCCATTTACTGTGCATACGTTCTGCATCAGCAGTTATATAATTTAGTTGATGTTATATTCCTTTTGAAGTTCTTGTTGTCTACTACTGCTAACCTCACCTTTTGACATGCACTTTGGTTAGATATTTTCCATCTTTGTTATTTTATTCATCAGTTTTTGGATTTCTTTGTGCTTGAGTACTCAACTTTATTTTCCAAACTACGTTATGAAATATTTTCAAATAAAGTATCTTTTCACTTCAAAACCAAGTCTAAGACTGGTTTATTGCTTTTTGGAAACTAGCTCCATTTGCTTACTCTGTGGCATTGACTAAATCATGTGTTTCTTACTTCTCTAGGATTACAATGTTGGATTATCTCTCTACGGAGATAAAGCTAAGCCAAAGACTTTTGCAGCACGTTTTGCAACTCCTGATGGGTAAAAGCTCTAAAACTTTCAGTTACAAAATCCAACAGTTGTCAACATTTATCAAGATGAAATATCATTTGGCTTTTAATCCAATCTAAACCGTAACAGTTTTCATAGAATGCCTGAAAAGGCGTTTAAATGGGTATTGATCATGGAGTGGTTAATATGAATATTTATGAACCAAATATTCTTCAAACGAATAATTGTTTGATTATGGGGATTATTTGCTTGCAGGTTCCTAAATTGTTGATTGTCTTGAGTTGATTTTTGAAGTGATGTCGAATTAGTGTGCTGGTACTATGACATATTGCATGATAACTTGAGAAATTACTATACAAAATCCTAGATTGACCAACCTATAACAAGAAAAAAAAGAAAAATGAAAGAAACAACAATAGATATAATTATATTCAAAAGGTTGTTCCTTGAGAAAGTTCATACATTCAGTTAGATGTGAGAGAAGACTTTCTGTGTTCAAAAAGCTTCCCATGGTTCTTTTCCTTCCTCTTTTTCTAAACAATACAAAACTTTCCAATATTTTATTTTTCAAAGTTTATGGTTATTGTACTTCTGTAGGATCTTTGAGGCCATCCGGAGTCCTTTCTTTCTTGGGATAAGATGCATTCAAGCAAGTCAGGTCAAATTTGAGAAAGCTAACGCATACAAGTGTCATGACAATATTATTTGAGTCTTCCCCCAACGAAAACACTGGATTGGTCAAATTGTTATTTTTTCTCATTGAAAAGTGTTTTAAAGATGTCTTTCATGCCCAACCTTGACCAATCTTGTCCTCATTCTTCCTTAAGTCTTTCAAAACCTATGACCTTGACACTCATGATAGACAAAAGGGAGATACCACGGCTTAAAGCATCAGTTGCTTGGTTTTCAACGCCTTTCTTATGTTTCAAAACAAAAGAATAGGCCTGTAAATATTCAATCCAGCGACCATGCCTAGAATTCAACATTTTCTGAGAATTAAGGTAGCGAAAGGCTTCATGGTCTAAGTAAAGGACAAATTCCTGGGGTAATAACTAATGACGCCAATAGCGCAAAGATTGTACAACTGCATACAATTCTTTATCATAAGTTGAGTACCATTGTTTGGCGTCATTTAATTTCTCACAGAAATAAGCAACAGGGTGGCGTTCCTGGCTCAGGACTCCACCTATTCCTACCCCGGAGGCATCACACCCTACCTAAAAAACTTTGGAGAAGTCTAGAAGTTGCATGACTGGAGCATTTGTCATTCGCTTTTTAACCAACTTAAACGCTTTAGCCGTTTCTTGCGTCCAATGAAATTCTCCTCTCTTCATGCACTCCGTGATAGGAGCCATGATTGTGCTCTTTAATGAAACGACAATAGAAGGTAGCTAAACCATTAAAACTCCTAACGTCAAGTCTTGGGTTCAGGCTAACCAACAATGGCCTGAATCTTTGCAGGGTCAGCAGACACTCCTGTAGCGGAGACAATGAATCCTAGGAAGACAACTTTATCAGCGAAGAAAGAATATTTCTTCACATTAGCATACGAGCTTGTTGCACGAAGGGTAGAACAAACCTGTATGAAATGATCTCGATGTTGTTCCCTAGTTTTACCATACACGAGAATGTCATCAAAGTAGACGACGAGGGGCTTCTGTCATCACTCTCATGAAAGTACTCGGGGCATTGATTAGTCCGAAAGGCATGACTTACCACTCATAAAGATCGTTCTTCGTTTTAAAGGTAGTCTTCCATTCGTCACCTGGGCGAATGCTAATTTGGTGATACCCACTTTTTAAATCGATCTTAGAAAATATTGTGGCACCGACCATCATATCCAACATATCATCAAGCTTAGGGATTGGAAAACGATACTTCGCTGTGATCCTATTGATGGCACAACTATCAACACACTTCCTCCAAGAGCCATCTTTCTTAGGAGTTAAAAGGGCAGGAACCGCACAAGGATTTAAACTCTCACGAATGAATCCTTTGTAAAGAAGCTCCTCTACTTGCCTCTCGAGCTCAACATGCTCAATAAGGATTCATTCTACAATGAGGTAGATTTGGAGGAGACGATCCAGGGACAAGATCTATAGCATGTTGAATATCCCGTAAATGAGCAATAGATCAGGGAGGTCCTTAGGAAAGACATCTCGAAACTCTTGAAGAACTGATTGGACTTCATCAATGGTCAATAATGGAGAATCTGATGAAACTCCACGACAACCACAACGATCACAACAAAATCGTCTATGAGTGTACGCCCAAATTTTGTAGGGCTAATCATATGCAATCCTTTCCGTTCCACAATTTTCTTGGCCTGCTGTAAATCAACAAGTTTTGGCGGTAAAGGATTAAAGTGAATCTTCTTCCCATTAAACACAATGGAACATGAATTTGACCGACCATGGATAAACACATTCAAATCGAACTAAGGTCGACCAAGAATGACGTGTCCGACATCCATGGGAATGACGTTACACCATATATGATCTTTATACTCAAGAAACTTGATAGGTACCAAACAACACTCGCTTACAGCAATAGAAGTGTCAACCTAAGAGACACTATAAAGTTGAGGGTGTAGACTGGCTGCAATCCAAGACGGGACACCGTAGCTACAGAAACGGTGTTAATGTAGCTACCACTATCCACAATAATTTTACAACCCTTATCATTGATCTTGATATGAGTTTGAAAAATGACATGACGACCCCAATCATCAGCATCTTTAGGTTGGGTAGGGATATAACGTACAACACTTAACCTTGAGGTGTCGGGGACAAGGGCACATAACCTAGATCCACAGGAAGGGTTCGGATACAACCCAATAAGGTATCCTCAATATCATCCAAATCGTCAAATTCTTCAAACTTAGTCTCATAGACTTTATCTTCTAATGGCTCATCGACGACATCCTTTCGTTCCTCAATGACTAAGGCTCAACTAGGACATCTGGATGAGATATGATCAAAGCCCTTACAATTGAAGCACTGCAAGCGGGGAAGAAGTTCTTGGGATTTCAGGAGCTTTACTGTTATTTTCCAACACAGGAGGAATATTAGATGGTGGAGGCCCGAGGAGGGACTTAACAGGAGGAGGTGGCACAGATGAGACCAACACATGAGGAATATTAGATGGTGTAGACCCGAGGAGGGACTTAACATGGGGAGGTGGCACAGATGAGACGGAAGGACGATTGTCACTACACCTTCCATACGGAGCCTTAGTAACCAACTCATAATCTCGAACTAGAGAGAGCGTGATCAAGAGCAGTGACACCTCGAAGGACAAGCTCATGTTAACAGAGATGATTTAGGGATTTGATTTGTACTAATTTTGGAAAGATTTACCTGTATAACATTTTAGGCGCTAGAAATCTAGCATTGATTGATGTAAACATTTTCTATATAATGAAAGGAAACCCTATGGAAAGGCCATTCAGACCATTTTGACATGGTATCAGAGCCAGTACTCTGATTATCGTTCCTGAGGTCTTGATTTTTAAAGAAGTTTTCTGAGTTGCAGCTTTTCCTCCTCTGTCTGTGCACGTTGGTGAGGTTCTGCAATTGTGGTGGTCGCTGAGTGTTTTCCTGCACGTCTGTAGGGTTCCGAGTTGGGAGCTCTTCACTTTGGTGGTTGTCGACGTCCTTTGGGAGTTGCAAGTGCATTTTTTTGGTACCGATCGGCACTTTCTGTGGTGGTCGATAGCATCTGTGGGTGGCTGTGAGGTGGTCGGCCGTTTCTGAGGGTAGCTACGTGGTGGTCGGCAGTTTCTGTGGTGGTCGGCAGGTTGGAATCTTCTTGGTGTGTGGCCGACGACGGGATTTTCTCGTGGGCAGGTCTATTTCTAGTGGTGGGTCTATTACTTGGGTCTATTACTTGGGCTTTCTCAATTTGGGCTTGCCGATTATTCTGGGTCTATTATTTAGGCATTCTGTGTTTGGGCTTGCCAATTATTCTGCTGTGGCTTTGCAATTTTCTGGTTTGACTTAGTGCTATTTTAAGTGATTTTTCATCATGTCTCTTCATAATACTATTGTTCAATTTACTGGAAAGAATTTTTCTACATGGGCATTTCAATTTAAAATATTCTTGAAAGGGAAAGAATTATCACATCATATTGATAATTTTGTCCGCGTTCGCACTGATGAAAAGGAATTTGCCCAATGGGAGGTCAAGGATGCTAAGGTGATCTCTTGGCTATTGGGCACGATTGAGCCCCATCTTATCACCAATCTTCGGTGTTTTACTACGGCACAAGCTATGTGGGACTACCTGTATCGTATTTATCATCAAGACCATAGCGCTCGAAAATTCCAATTGGAATTGGAAATTAGCAATTACACTCAAGGCAATTTGACTATTGAGCAATTTTATTCTGGTTTTATTAATCTTTGGAGCAAGTATTCTGCTATTGTTCATGCTAAGGTTCCCACAGTGGCACTCGCGGCTCTTCAAGCGGTTCATGCTGAGAGTCAACGTGATCAGTTTTTGATGAAGCTTCGACCTGAATTTGAGCCTGTTCGGGCCGGTTTATTGAACCGTAATCCGGTTCCTTCCTTGGACATTTGCTTAGGAGATTTATTACGTGAAGAACAGCGGTTATCCACTCAGATGGGTATGACTTCTGAGAAGGTCTTTTCTGAAGCTATGAATGTAGCCTATGCAGCACAAGGGAGAGGGAGGAACAAGTTGCAGTGTTTCAGTTGCAAGGAGTTCGGTCATATTGCTCGTAACTGTCCAAAGAAAGTTTGTAACTACTGCAAGAAAGAGGGTCATCTCATCTAAGACTGTCGTGTGCAACCTCAGAATCGCCAATCCCAAGCTTTTCAAGTTGCTGTTCCGCCCTCGTCTTCTTCTGCGCTCCCCACTGTAAGCTCTGAGTCATCTGTTCTCACACCTGCCATGGTCCAACAGATGATTGTGTCTGCTTTTATGGCTGTAGGCCTACAAGGTACTGATCCTACCTCCACTTCTTCTTGAATTGTTGATTCCGGTGCCTCTAATCATATGACTGGTAG